CCACTCTGTAGAGGCACAAGTGAATTTGTAGAATTTTGTCCAGTAGAAGTGCAAATAATTTCTGTCTAAAGAAGAAATAATCCCAATGGTTACTGGCTATAGCCCTGTTGGATATCAAACAGTTTTGTTTCTAACTCTGGAAACTTCTCACAGTGCTCATAAAAACTTCATTCTCAAATGCCCTTTGCCTTGGGTTTAACATTTTACCGTTTTTTATCAATTCACATGTTAAATATAATATTCGGCATGTTAACTTTATATTTGCCTGAGACTCATGATTTTATCTTTTTGAAAACTATGCTTTAAGAATATTTAGATACAAAGCTTCGAATCTACAACATTTTCTGGAATCTGTGCCTCTCTGCTTCCTCTACGTGACACAACAATGGAACTGGAAGTTGAGGCTGCTACCTAGCACTTTGTGTTCCTCCTGCCAGGGAGCCAGCAGACAAAGAAGGGGACTACTGTACTAGCTGGGGTGACTGATCCTGACTATCAAGGGGAAATTGCATTATTACTATATAATGGAGGTAAAGGGAAATATGTTTGAACTGCCTTCAATCCCCCGGGGTACTTCTCAGAAACCCCATGTCTTACAAGGCCCACATCTTCTGATAAAAGTCAATGGGAAACTAAAAACTCAATCCAGGCAGGATGTCTAATGTCCCAGACCCTTAAGTATCTGTAGAAATAGGGTTTTTCAGAATACACGTTGGAAAATGCTAATCTAATGTAATTTCTTCATTGTTATAAACCCCAAACCTGCTTGAGTTTTGACAGCAATTTTTCTCTAACTGGCTAGTAGTAGGTTGCTTACTTCTATCTCCAAGCCTGCCATGCAAACATTTAATTAACTTCTTATAAGTATTAACTTTTCAATATTCATCAAATAAATACTATATTGATTGAACACCTACTAAGTACCAGGCACAGATCTAGAATCTGAGAATATAACAATGAACCTATGTTTCTACTTTCTCACATGAAGCTAGCTGTCCTTCAAGTATGTATGTGTGTGCGTCTATGTGTGCACATGCCAATAAACACATGAAAACATTGATTGGGAAGTGACAAATGCTATGCAAAACATAAGGCATGAATAAGAAATAGAGTAAAATGGTTGGAGAGTACTAGTTTATATAGGGTGGTCAAAGAAGGCTTCTCTGATAAGAAGACATTTGAACTGAGGCCTGAATTAAATGAGGGAGTAAGTATGTATGTATGTATCTAGAGCAAGTGTTGTAAGTTACTGCCCATGGGACAAATCTGCCCTACCACTTGCTTTTGTAAATAAAGTTTTATTGGAACACAGCAACACTCATTTGTTTACATATTGTCTATGACTGCTTTCATACTACAATAGCAGGGTTGAATGGTAGCAGCAGAGATTGTATGGTTTCCAAAACCTGAATGATTGACTATCTGGCCTCAAAAACTTCAGCTACTCCTGGTCTAAGGAAAGAGGGTGGCCAGGCAGAGGAAACAGTAAATGCAAAGCTCTGAAGTAGAAGTGTGGTTGACATGTTTAAGCACTGGTTAGTATGCCTGGAGGGAGAGGAGATAGGAGAGGGTGATGGGAGAGGTAGGAAGGTCAGATCACATGGCCACAATGAAGATTCTGGCTTATTCTCTAAGATGGAAAGCCATTGGAGACTTAAATCACAGGGTCGTGATCTGATTCATGCCTTCAAAGGAACTTTCTGACTACTATCTTCCTTTGATTCTTTTCCCTTTCTCACTCTCCTGCCTCTCTGTCTTTCTCAGAAAGCAGGGGTTGCTCAGGAAATGATTATCCATTGAATTTGATGATGTCTTGTTAGTTCTGATCCTTGCAGATGAAGGGTCTCCTAGCTCTTGATTCTGTTATTTTTAGGGACCTGGAGCTTCTCACGAGGCTTCAGTCTACATGAGGACTTACCAAGCTGTCCATTCCATGACCAGCCCTGGGTCCTACCAGAAGAAGGCCAGTATGGTACATACTTCAAAAGAGCACCCTGGAGCTTTGCTCTCCTCTTTGAAGACACATTCACCTATTTACGAACCATTTGTGCTAAGGCGATAACGTGCTCTCTAAATGCTGGCTCATGGTCTAAGAGCTTCACATACACACTACCTTCGGTTTGGGGAAAACTGACAGTGTGGAGCCTGCTTGGGATTCTCTTTCTCTGCCCTTCCACACTGTCAGCACAGAGCCTGGTGGGGGACTTGAACTCATGAACTGTGAGATCATGACCTGAGCTGAAACCAAGAGTTGGATGCTTAACTGACTGAGCCACCCAGGCACCCCACCATGATTTTATTCTTGAACTATTTTCCTTCAAATACCATTGTGAAAAAAAATGTCCTAAATAAAATCTCCAATAACATTACAGGGGAATTATCTATTTTGCCAGAGTATGCAGCTCTCAAAATCTTTTCTCTGAGATTTTATCTTATTTCTATAACTCAAATCAGTGCACCAAAGAATTCTTTCCACTGAACATAGACTAGAATCAGAGAAGAGTCAAGAATCCCTCTTGCCATCCAGTATGTTTTTGCCTGCTTGAATGGGTGGCAGATATGTTTAGAGGTGAGTCTTTTTAAAATTGTCTGATGTGGGGACCACCCCCCCAAAATTATATGGTACATACATAGATTAGACATGATCATTTAGCTTAGGATTATCTCCCAAGGTGCCTCCTCATTGCTCCATATGCAATATCAGGGCTCTTCCTAGAATTCTTAGGGAGTCAGGCCCATGTTTGGGAAGCATTTTAGCCTCAATTTACTATTTTCAGTGGGAGGAAGAGAAATGAGACCCATCAAAGACTTTGCCTTGTTTGTTTGGAAAGGAATGAACAATAAGACAGAAATAATGTTTTAGGAATGATACAAAAAACATAGCATTAACCTTGCCAAAGTGAGGAATTGTGAAGCTTCTTGCTCAGTGGACAAGTAATACTATTCATGACAATAATAATTATTGTTACCTCTTAGTAATTGAGGATTTACTGTGTTAGACACTGAGATAATGGCTTTACTTGTATTTTTCTGTTTTTCCTCTTAAAACTCTATGAAACAGGAGCTACTCAGAAAAGTCAGGTCAACCTACCCAAGATCACACTGTTGATAGGTGGCCAAGCTAGTCTCCCTATCTCCTGAATTCCTCCTGTTAGCCATTCTGCAATATTCCTCTCTGTGGAAATGGTTCAATATTTGAAGAGGTTTAAAAGGCCATAAACATCTACTTATGAATCTACTTCTTGAAAGTATTCTGATGGATATCTTTGGTTAAGGAAAGTCTGCAAGGGTCAAGGTGAATTACCTGGACTTCACTGAGGTTTTCAGAATTGTTTTTTCATCATGGAACTCCATTCCTGACAAAATCAGAATGGCTAAGTGCACAGGTTGTTCTTTTAAATTTCTTTCCACTTTGAGATTTCATGATTCCTCAGTGCTCTTTGGAACTTTCTCATATCTCGTATGAAGTATCCAATACTAGATTCTGCTCACAGTGACTACCAATAGTTCCACATCCCCATTTCTCTGTTTCTACAATGAGAATGACTTCTTTTTTCTTTCTTCTTGGGGACACTATAAGCTCCTATTAAATTAGAACATAGTGTAATAGCTATAAGTGCTTTAAGCTCACAAGGAAGACCAGAAACAAAAATGCAGGTTACCATTGTCATGTAAATTATTTACATTGTAGTGCAAAAATTGAAAGACTTTTGGGAAGTTTTGTGGCACACTTAGCTTTATTGAAATTGAACAAATATTTTTTAATAATCCCTTTTACAGCACATGTAAAATTTAAGTTTCTCGTTATATTTTTACAGGTTGTCTTTTATCTGAGTAAGCAAAAATACGTCTTTTATTTGTTTTCTTACTTAAAACATGTAGCCAGGATTCAAACCACGTAGCTCTGGTACCAAAAAGGCAACGGGTTATGAAAATCACAGTACAATTTTAAAATTCTGTAAGTTAATTAAGGATATTTAAAACGATATTCACTTGGATTGACAGTAGAAATCATGGTCGTTTGACATTAGGACTAGTAGTTACACCTACAATGAGAGCAGAAATGGAAAGTTCAAGCTAATATGAGCTACACCGTTCAGGACATACCATCTCCATAAATACTGTGGCCGAGAGGCTGCAATGGCTAAGTGACACTTGAGCAGTTAAAGTCGCATGTCAATATAGTCAAAGCAAAAAAAAATACAGTGTGCTGATTGGGATCTAAAATAAGATGGGCATCTATTTTTAAGAGGGTATACTATCAAATCAATTACACAATACACAGTTTAAACCCCCAAATTACACTGAGGAACAAAAAATAATATTAAATTGCACACCTACACGGACAGTAAAGTAGAAATCTGTTCTTTGTGGTTGGTGCTTATTTTTTGTTGTTGTTTTCTCAATAAATAGAAATAATTTACAACCCACAAAAGGATTTCTCGGGTGAAACACTAATTACAGACACCGTAAAGAACGTAGCTCAGGGTACTTGTTTTAAAAACGAGGCAGCATTTTCCTGAAAAAGTTTGGTCCTCAACTCACTATAGGCTAGTCCCTATGGTCAGATGGTAAGCATTTTCCTTCTGTGTGTGTGTGTGTGTGTGTGTGTGTGTGTGTGTGTGTGCGTGCGTGTGTGTGTGTGTGTTTTAAGCTAACTTTTCAGTACCAGAATTAGTCAAAACCAAACCAAATAGCTCTCAAGCACTTGACCTTGCATATCCTGTCTAATTAATACATCACCTGAAATAACAACGCTAAAGACTATGAAGGGAATTATGCTCACGTGATTCTGCAACACCTTAATTTTGTGCAAACATTTTCCGTCATTGCCCAGATAACTTATCTTTATCCATGTACGTGCCAGGAAACCTGCCCTCATGATCTTCCCTCCCCCCTCCCTTAGTCATCTCCTCTGTCAAAGTGATAGAAAGACAATTTCACTGTGTATTTACAAGCACAACAATTAGGCAAGAAAGTCCAGGGTCCGAAGGGCACATCTATTTCTTGTGGACATCTTCATGCCGAATGATCTTGTATGTGATCCAGTAAAAGATGTTGAAAATGAGGAAGGCCAATGGGAAGGCAGCTCGAGATATCGTGTCAATCCTTTTTGCCCGGTCCACAAACTTCTTCTTGATGGCATCTGCATCTTTTGGGGGTTGTGGGAGCGGGTTGGCAGGTGTGGCCTTGACAGCTGTTCCATCTTTCACTTGGAGGCAGTGACCCATCCCATAACCACTGAAATTAAAACGACTTTCACGAGTAACATCTTCTTCCTGGGAGAATAAAGACAGAGGAAGCACAGATTGGTTGTCAGTCAAATCAGATGGAAGATGCTTAAAATTCTTCAGAAGTAAAAGGATAAATCACAGTTAACTGGTAGTGTGGGAGGCTTTGGGAATGTGGAATTCTCTTTCAAGTTCAACTCAATTATTCATGGAACAGATACAGTTCATTAAATTTCAGGCTGAGAGATGAAGAGTAAGAATCATGACTTTGTGGTCATTTTAATTAATTAAACAGAAACACATTATATTCAGCACTGACTTTCCCCAAATCTGGTTTATTAATCCATAACTTTGAATGAACTATTTAAAATTTTTTTTTTTACATTTATTCATTTTTGCGAAACAGAGAGAGACAGAACACAAGTGGGGGAGGGGCAGAGAGAGAGGGAGACACAGAATCCGAAGCAGGCTCCAGGCTCTGAGCTGTCAGCACAGAGTCCAACACGGGGCTCAAACTCACAAACAGTGAGATCATGTCCTGAGCCGAAGTTGGACGCTTAACCGACTGAGCCACCCAGGTGCCCCTGAATGAACTATTTTAAAGCCCAGTCTCCAAATCCCAATTTTATACTCCATGTAGAGCACCATTTGTTCATTTACTCATTCACGCTTCATTCACTCATTCAAAAAATCATTTACTGAATCCCTGCTGTGTACCTGGCCCTAAGCTAGGAACTTCTAGTTTTGTGGCCCATTCATAGCCTAGTTCCTTCCATTAACATTGGCTTTAAGGTTAATATGAGATCTAATATTAACCCCTTATATGCATACCTGTTTCCCCTCTGGTCTTCTAGTTGATCTCAGTTATATATCAGAGATTAAACATCCACTATGTGATGTTGAATATTTTGACCATGACTGATTTTTCTGGTGTCGATTTTTTTTAGGTGATCCAATTTTTAAAATTGTTTTATTTTCTAATATTGTTAGTATACAATATTAGTTTCAGGTGTGCAACACAGTGATTCAGCAATTCTATACATTATTCATTGCTCATCACGATAAGTGTACTCCTTAATCTGTATCACCTATCTCACCTATCCCCCTCATACCTCCTCTGGGAACCATCAGTTTGTTCTCTACAGTTAAGAGTCTGTTTCTTGATCTGATTCTCTCTCTCTCTCTGTCTTCCCTTTGCTCATTTGTTTTGTTTCTTAAATTCCACATATGAGTGAAATTATATGGTATTTGTCTTTCTCTGACTGACTTTTTCACTTAGCATTGTACTTTCTAGCTCCATCCATGTCGTTGCAAATGGCAAGCTTTCATTCTTTTTACGGCTGAGTAATACTCCATTGTGTGTGTGTGTACACAACATCTTCTTTATGCATTCATCAATCGATGGACACTTGGGCTGCTTCCATAATTTAACTATTGTAAATAATGCTACCATAAATATAGAGGTGAATGTATCCCTAAGAATTAGTGTTTTTGTATTCTTTGGGTACATCGTAGTGTGATTGCGGATTATAGGGTAGTTCTATTTTTAACTTTTTGAGGAACTTCCATACTGTTTTCTAGAGTGGCTACACCAGTTTGCACTCCCACCAACAGTGCCTGAGGGTTCCCTTTTCTCCATATCCTCACCAACACTTGTTTTCTAGTGTGAATTTTTATCATTGATTCTTTTGTTAGTTATCTCTACCATATTTAAACACGGGTCATTTTAGCAGATGTCAGTGGTATTTTGTGTTGATTATTTCAACGTGAATTAGATAAAAGACTGAAAAAGTATAACCTCAGGGTAAAGTGCAGATAGCCTTAGTAGAGTCAAACGTATGGAATCTTGGTGTGTGGTTGGGTCAAAATGGTGGAGTCGAAAGAGTGGAATTGAAATGACCTACTTAATAAAAGTTTAGTTCTAAATAACCATCGATTGAATCTTCTTTGGAAACTAGTTCACTGCCTTCCACAATACTGTACAACCCCTGGGAATCACCAAAGGCACTGCACTTTTTATTTTGCCAGATAATAACAATGGTTATGTTTCCCAAAACACAAGAGAACTTGGTATTAATTTTATTTCATGAGTTTGTATTGCACATCAGTTGTGCCTTAAGCCACATATAAAAGATATACTGAATGTTTATTTATTTATTTTGAGAGAGAGAGAGAAGGAAGGAGAGGAAGGAAGGAGAGAATCCCAAGCAGGCTCCACACTGTCAGTGCAGAGCCCTACGTGGGGCTCGAACTCACAGACTGTGAGATCATGACCTGAACTGAAACCAAGAGTCAGGTGCTTAACCGACTGAGCTACTCAGACGGCCCCTGAGTGAAGTACTTTTAACATGATATGAATGAGAGCCCAACTGTAATTCAAGTGGTACAGCAAGGGCAAATTTTTATCAGGAAAATCAGACTAGAGCTCTTAGAGTAAAGTAACTGTAAAACTACCTTTATAAAATCATCTCAGTACTTTTATTTATATGGGATTGTCCTATACAAGTTGGTTCAAGATACTCTGTCTTATTTCTTAACAAAATGTATTAAGGAATTTCTCATGCAACAATGAATTATTGAGTGTTGAGTCTATGGCGGGCATTTTGCTAGGCACTCAGAAACAGTTGATGAAGTTGGATAAGAGCCCTACTTGCATGGAATTTTCAGAACCCACTGGAAGTGTTCAACCTCAAGGTGTTATCATATAAGGTAACTGGCTAAGAAAACTGAGCCTGACATTAGAGTACTTTCATGTGCCCAGCTATCTATATAAGCTCAATAATGAAGACTTTAATTGGACTCAGATTCAAATATTGAATCTGTTTTCTTTGCCTTAAAATGTGAATGGTAGAGGCGCCTGGGTGGCTCAGTCGGTTGAGCGTCTAACTCTTGATTTCGGCTCAGGTCGCGATCTCACAGTTTGTGGGATAGAGTTCCCGCTCTTAGTGCAGAGCCTGCTTGGGATTCTCTCTCTTCCTTTCTCCCTGCCCCTCCCCTCAAAACAAATAAATAAACATAAAAAAATAAAGAATGAAGTTCTAAATGAAGTATTTAAAAAGGTATTTTTAAATATGGAATAAATAGATATATTAAGCATTGCAGTGCTATCAGAAGACTTATTCAGTCCTTAGCAAGAAAGGAAGCACACAGGTCATTAGAGGGAGGGGACTTAGGAGTCACATGGGTTATAGGCGGTCTTGACTTTCTATTACCAACTGGTAATTAGATCTCAACTACTGAGTGAGAGAAGTAGAAACTGTGTCAGTTGGTTTAGTAAAGAGAGATACAGACTAGGAATTTGGATATTTGGGTTCTAGCTCAGGCTCCAAGGGTTGTAAGCTGCTGTTGATCTTAAGCAAGCTCTTTATTTTTTAAAGGCCTCAGGGATCTCATACCAAAAATATCAAGGCTGGACTAGATTTATGGGCCTCAGCTTTGACCGTTGGGGAACTTTTACAAGTATATGCATGCCTGCCTCGCCTCCTAACTCCTTCCAGATCAAATGAATTAGAATCTCTAGGGCGATTTAAAATCCAGTGACCCTGATGCAGAAGGTTGGAAACCAGTGGCCTCGATGAGCTCTAAGGTCCAGCTCTAAAATGTGGAAACTATTCTATATTATTAAGTCTAAAATTACTTTTCATAATGGAAACTATTCCTCAAAGTACATTTCCCCTTATCTGCCTAAATTTACTGTGCTGTTTTTCCTTTCCATATCTGTAGAATCTTGCAAATTGCTGTTCTCACCTCTATAAACATTTAGAAACTCACGATTAAGCATATAGTTCACTGCCTACGTGAGATAAGATTCTTTTTAAATTCCTGGATCCCTGAAGCAACAGGAAAGGTGGTTAGCTAGTAAACTGCTTTAGCACGCAGAACAAAAGGAAACCTAAATACCCACATCCATGTTTCTTTTCAGACTGACTCATTCATTTAGTTTCTATAGTCTTGCCTCACATACTGTGAATGGACAGCTGAAGAGATGAACTCATCCGATGAAAGACCAGAGCTAGAGTAGAATGATGCCAGCTTGGGTTCTCATTATGTTGTCCGGTGCCCAACAAACCGTGGGTGCTTAATAAACGTTTGTTGCGTAATGAACAAAAGGGAATTTTAAGAGGGTTTTTTTCTGCTCTTAAAAATACTTTCCTCATTCATTCAGCAGTACTTCCAATTATGCTTATGAGCATAGTTACAGCTAATTAAATCCATTCTTTAAAATCCTCCATCGCAAAAAATAAATTTGTCGTAGGTAGGAGTTATCCATTTAATTTTTCATATGCAGGAGATACGAATGCTAGTTTAAGGGTCTTCTTATTCACCATTATGACTCATCCGACGCATTTTAAATACAGAACCTTAAATTCTCCACATCAAACGGTATGGTTTTGATTCAGAAAACATAATTGCAACAATTTGAGTTTCTGTGTTATAATGAATGACTAATTGCCTTTATAACAGGTTCAGCATAAAATGTTATGGTAATATGGCAGGATTCCTATATGAGGGTAAGAAGGAGATGAGCTTGAGTCAGGGATAAGCTGACGCTAAAATAAAGAGCAATCTGTAGGCACAGCTCAGTTGAACATATTCACAGGGAGAATCAGATCTTCCCAGTAAGGAAAGAATCTTACTCAGATATTCTCCACTTCTTCTAATTAGCCGGGAAACCGATTAGTTAAGTATTGCTGCTGACCCACCATCTTCAGTAACTTTGAACAGTAAATACTTCTAGCTCACTCTCTTTGGTTATGCACTGATTAAATTCCCACAGAAAATGAATCATCCCAAGCTTCAATATTTTCAATTTCTATATCCCACTCCTAGAAAATCTCCTTAAGTCCTGTCCTGCCGCATGAAGCACTGCCATGGCACCATGCAACTCATTTGAGATTTATTATTTTATTTAATTCAGGCCTCACTTTTACTTACTGTAAAGTTTACTCATTTCTGTGTCTGTAATACCTCCTGTCTAGATGTGAAATTGGACCTAAAGCTCACCAGAATTGCAATGTAGCGAATTGTTCATCAGAAGCGAATGATTT